AAATTCTGGTATTTTTCTCTTTTACTCCTATTATTATATTTTTGATCCCATGTTGAATTGCAGAGCTCTAGGCGGTCGGTTCTCTGCCTCACACTGGGATACCGATGAACCCCCAATCTGTAACAACTCATCTGCACCTTGAATATCTCAAGCTATTCCACATCGACAACAGCGACAGAGAATGGCAGATACGCGCACAATCACTGTTGAAATTAACACCAAAGAAATCATCAAACCATCTTCCCCAACTCCTCCGCACCTTCGAGTTCTCACGCTATCTTATTTCGACCAGTTCGCTCCCGATTTGTATCTATCTTTGGTTCTATTCTACACTAAAATTAGAGATACTCGTGAAACCTCTCAACGCTTGAAATCATCCCTATCTCAAGTTCTCACTGATTTCTACCCATTTTCCGGAGGGAAACAAAGAGAACATCTTTGTTGAATGCAATGATGAAGGGGTTGATTATGTTGAAGCTCGAGTCAATTGCTCTGTCTTTGAGATTCTTCAACGACCAGATCACCATGTACTCGAAAAATTTCTCCCCACCGGCGCGAAGCTCGTTGCAGCAACTGGATCTCCCTTGTTGATTGTTCAAGCTAGCTTCTTTAATTGCAACGGATTGGCAATTAAGATTTGTCTTTCACACAAGATTGCAGATGCGGCTTCCTTGGTGACATTCATCAAAAGTTGGGCAGCTACTAGTAGGGTGGAAACGGATTCCAGTCAGTTGGTTTCCCCAGAAAATAATTTTTTTTATTTTATAGGAAAATAGCGGTATCAAATAAATATAAAAGGTCAACATAAAATATTAAATGTTGATTATTAACATATTATTTGACACCAACATGCAGTGTTAAATATTATCTAATAATCAATGCCTACTTATTTGTGTTATGTTAACTATATACATTTATTCAAAATCACATTGCGGTGTCAAAAAATCATATATATGTACGTATATATACACACTTTTTTTTTTGACAGTATATTTTTTTTGCTACATCAAAAACTATTTAACGCAAATTTATTTGAGAGCGATATTTAATCACGCTTAAAAGGTATCTATTAGTTTTTTAACCGTACACTTTGATTATTTGACACCACATTTGCGATGTCAAATAACTATTTTTCTAATATTTAGATTTCCAAAATTCTGAATAAAGCTAAGCACTTATTTAATTAGTATAACAATTAAAATTTAATAAATAGTGAATAGTGAATAATGAACAGTAAGTGATGCTTAGTAAATAACGGATAACGAATAATGAAAAATAGATAGCAAAAAGTAAATTGCAAAAAATAAATTACGAATTGATATAACTATTTAGTTATATAATAATTAGTGTTGTTATTTAATGTTAAATGATTAATAAAGATATATTAAAAAAATAAGTATATTTTTTCTTTATATATTTTTTATTATTAAAATTATTAATTTTATAAAAATAAAA